TTCTTTCTTTTTTATCAAAAAAGTCTGTGGACCCACTAATGATACTCGGGAGAGAACCGACCTACTGGTCTTGATCCCATTCTATACGCACGCAATTTGTTTAGTAACAAGGTAACAAGAAGCGGGCTAAAGCCACAAAAGGGGGACAAGATTCATCGATTAGGTGGCAGCAAGGTTTGTGACTCTTTGATCTATCGGTTGACTCTGTCTTTTTAACATCCTTGATCTTGATTTGTTTCCAGGAGCAGAGATGGAATGAAATAAGCAATCAAGTCCGTCTGGACTCCGATCGAGAAAGCCCTATACTCGACCTACTTCCATCTTAAAGCATTGAAAGAAAGGCAGTATTAGATCAAAAGGTTTTTTCTTGACCTAGCTACTGAGAGAATGTGCTTACCTTTTTAATGACTTATTCGGTTTCATTTAACATTTAAGAGCTTAGTTAGGGTTCTCTTTTCGATTGGAATTGGAGCATTAATCTCATAATTCCGGAGATGAGCAAGACTCAAAACTAGGCAACAGGTTGCGTTGCCCGGGGTGAAAGACACCATAGACAATGTAGCAGCTGTGGCACCCGAAGACATAGGGAAAACTTACTCTTCATCTTTTTCTTTTTTTAATAGACGTCACCCACTAAAACGTCAACTAAATGAAAGCCTCTTCCGGCGCTTGTCCAAAAAGGGAAAAAGAAACTTAACCCAAAAAGCAAAAGCGAATGGATCTTAGGGTTTGATAGGCTTAGGCTCTCAGGGGTTTCTTTCCTAAGTTAAGTTCCGGTAACGGCGCATGGGTGGGGACTCCACTTTGCTAATCCAGTCTTCAAAGCTGTCAATCTTGCTGTGGAGCCGGAGTTTGTGTAGTTCAGTCCACGCCTTTCCGTCCTGAGTCGACTAAGACTAATCAATCCAATCCTTCCTTCAGCAGGGGTTGCTGCTTGACCTTTACCTATCCGAGTGAGAATCTTCTTATTCACACCTGAAAACGGTAACTGAGAACTACTTGATGGCATAGCATCGGAAGCAGCCGCATCTCATAAATAGACAAAACTACTAGGTGACCCTTAAGGGTCTTCCATGTCTTCTTCATCAAGAGCTGCTTCTGGACGGATACTACTGGCTTTCACAGAGGTTGACGGACGTTTCTGGTTTTTTGCTTAGGATTCTGATTTCAAGGGAAGATAAGTACGCTACTGAAGAGCTGATGACATTTCCATCTTCCGCTCAAACTAGAGCTAGAAAGGCCAACGACTACCTTAGTCGAGTCAGTGATCCCTTGCTACTTCTTTGCGGATCTTTCAAGAGTGAAAAGAGGCATAATTCATATATATTTTAATCTAATAATCATTATCTTTATACACTATTTAAAGCAACTATCAATCTCAATCTCAAGATTCTAAAAGGGCTGTTAATAAGATATTTATTAGAATATTATATAATACAGATATTCGCTAAGTAAAAAGAAAGAAAGATCAATGAGAGACAGCTTCCCTTACTCTCTTTTCAATCTTTATCTGTCTTTGTCTTCATAAGTAATGAGGATCTTACGCCTCTGGGGACCTACTTTAGAGACCATTTCGAAGTCTACGCTGGAAGGTTGTTATACCTCCTATCTGGCTAAGCACTATTGGACGCTGGTTTCTCGATCACTCTTTTACTAAATGAAGATTGAAACAACTGAAGAAAGAAAGAACTCTTTCTTATACTTATGAACAGATGAAATATATACTTTCTTTTCGACTTGACCAGTTACCGCTCCTAAGAAGGGGATCTCGAGCCGCCTATTCGAGAGAGAGGTTGAGAGACATGATGTGCATGAGACCGAGCAGATTGAGCACCTTTGCCTTTTATGCGATTAACCTGGCGGTGGGCATCCCTTACAGATTTTGGAGCAAAGGCACTGGGATCTATGAGTTAAGGACTAGCAAGACTCACATCGCTCTGGTCTCCATTCGTATTCAACTGGTTGAGAGATGAAAACATTTTTCTAAATTTCAACCTCAATGCAAACTGAGGCAAAGGAGGGGGATGCCCGGTACACTGAAGATGCGTCCCAATCCCAAAGTCGCCAATGACCACCAGTACTGCAACAAAAAGACAGGGTATCTTATCCAGATAGGCTTAAAGAGAGTCTTGGTTCATCGAGAGAGGACCCCTTTCAGTTCCAAAAGCAGAAGGTCTATCCCCTCGATCCACTTTTCCAGCCAGGCAAGCTCGGGAAAATAGCCTAGCAAGAAAAAAACACCGCAGAAAAATAAATAAGGGGATTAAGGCTTGCTGTTTTCTGGGGAGGCTAAAGCAGGGTAGCGAAACTAGGAACGGAGTTGGCTTGTTAGAGCTAGGCTGTTGAGTTAAAGTAAGCAAGCTAGTCATACGAGCCAGTGAGCTAGGCAGCTTGCTGTTTAGTTCCAGTAATCAAGCTAGGCTCTTTGTTGGCTATTCATAGATCTGGAGTTGTCCTCTATTGCTGATTTAGCGGCCTTCTTTAAGAACCTTAGTAGCGAGTCTCTTATAAGGGGAGCAGGCGGTGAGATTCCTGTTATAATCTAAGGCTTGACTTTTATGGCAGCTGCAAAGAAAAAAGAAAGGAGACCAAGATGGGCACACTCACTTCAGGTACGCAGTAACTTGCTCGGGACAATGGGAAAGTTGTCTCATAGTTGCCTGTTCTGATTCCCGATTATAAGTAAGGCAAGCGGTAAACGTTCTACGCTAAGGCCGATTTCGCTACTTCAATTCCAGAGTATAGGCTACTCAATGAGAGGAGACCTGCATAACCTTGTAATTGCCAAACTATAGCTACTGTAACAGAAGTAGATAAGATAAAATAAGGATACCCGGGCATGAGAAAGTAAGACTGGGGAACAGACGTATAAATGGAACAGCCAGATAGCGGGAAGAAAAGAAATTGAGTTCACCGAATTGCTACTGAATGCCTTGCTACTGACTTGGCACTTTCTAAGGCAAGAAGGAGAAGACAGTCTTCCTACCGTTCGTTCGTTCCCCCTCCCGGCAAGAAAACGGCTGCGCGTCTAAGCAAGCAAGAAAACTCCTGCGTTAGCACAACAAGCAACGAGCAAGAAAACGGGGCAATCAAACTAAAGGCGTTAGTACGCAACAAGCAACGGCCCGCTACGAATAAAGGCGCCCTGGCGCGAAAGCCCCCACTTAGTTTAAGGCGTTAGTACGAACAAGCCCGCTACGAATAAAGGCGCCCGTTAGCGAAAGCCCCCACTTAGTTTAAGGCGTTAGTCACGAACAAGCAACGGATGAGCGCTCTAGCGCGAAAGCCCCCACTTAGTTTAAGGCGTTAGTACGAACAAGCAACGGATGAGCGCCCTAGCGCGAAAGCCCCCACTCAGTTTAAGGCGTTAGTCACGCGCAGCCGTTTTCTTGCTGCTTTAGTTTGATTGCTGCTTTAGTTTGATTGCTGCTTTAGTTTGATTGCTGCTTTAGTTGGATTGCTGCTTTAGTTTGATTGCTGCTTTAGTTGGATTGCTGCTTTAGTTTGATTGCTGCTTTAGTTGGATTGCTGCTTTAGTTTGATTGCTTGCTAGGGAGAGGTATGAAGTGAGTGACTCTTTCCGTCTTTAGTTTAGGTTCATTACGGCAGTTGTTAGTTTCGTCTCTTTATCAGTTAATTCGGTATCGTTTATTAATTGCGTATTGCGTATGTATATTATATTAATAAGGGTAGTCCTTCTCCCAGGTGCGCCTAAAGTCTTATGATGATTCCTTGCCGGTTAAACCATCAGGCTCGACTAAGAAATCCATGCCAGAGACTCCTCCTAGTAACCATTCCCGAAATCCAGGGAGGTGTTCTTGAAGACATTGGCGGGCTCCAAGCTACACCCTTCTCTGCTACCAAATCATAGATCTTCCAGAGAAGACCAAAGAGAATGAGCTCACTCGATTCGCGTCTGATCCTCCATTCTTTCTCATAGACTGATGCAGAAAAGAAGTAACTTAAGGAAACATCCGGTGAATTCGCGACACTCCAGTACCAATGGACGTACCGAAGCCAATTCTTCATCTCTTCATCCAGTTCCTGAGCAAAGACCACTCAAGCAAGGAAGTCCCGGACTCTTTTCTGCTGGAAATAATTCATCAGGAGCCACCTTTAAATCCGAAGGTTTCATCCCTTTAATTTAAGAAGGAAGGAGATAATGAAACCTCGAAGATAAGGAAGCGAAAGCTCACTCTGCCAAGCCACAATTCTAATGGATAGTCATTGGGACCCCGAGGCTTGGTGTACATAGCAAGAACCCGCTCAAAGTGACGAGATCTTGTATGACTGAGTTTGGCAAGCAAGGACCCTATAACCTCCACAACCTATCCTTGGTAGAGAACCTTCGTAATGAATGGATATTTTTTACATATAGCCATCAGACCATATGGATGATGGTAAGCAAGCAAACAACGAGCAGACATGGCAGATAAATCCACGCGTCCACCCTTGACGCAAAAGCGCTTAGCAAACTCAAATGCACCAGTGTCAGAAATCAGAGATTTTTGAGTTGAAATTGGCTGAAGACACTGAAAATAAACTTCGGCAACTTGCGCATCAGCGATGACAACATCATCACCGAGCACATTGATTGGGACACATCCAAAAAAGTGGCTTTTGAACGAGACCTACCGGCTTAGGGGCAGTTGCTACTAAAATGGGTGTACCCGGAACGGGGTTCCGATCTCTAAATAGATCCGCTATAGCTACTCGATCTCGATCAAATGGCTTTGGATCTGTCTCCACATCTGGAAGATCTGTAACAGGATATGGAACTCCATAGAGATCTGAAACTTTAAGGGGTGCTCCATACTAAATTAAGGGTAAGAGCCCTTACTCTCTCTTCTGTAGATACGCTATCCCTTCCGGCTATGGTATGGGGGAAGGGAAGTGAGATCTACCGATTGATTTTCTATTAGATGAGCGGCCGTATTATGATCGTTCGGGAGACATGGCCCCACGCGCTACACACAAGAATGAATTGTTATGTGGTCGGTAAACTTTTTCTGCAGGCAGCCTATCAAATCAGATCACGTATTATTTATTTAATATGTCGTTCCGTCATGTACATGTATTCGGTCAACAATTTGGATGTTCCTGCTCTGGTTAGCACGGTAAAGCTTGTTTAAGTCTTTCCTCTCTGTTTCCTTCCGTGTCGTTCCGGTCTCTTTTCTTCTTCATTCTCACCCTAAAGTCAGTATTGTATCTTATTCCTATCTAAGCTATATCAACATAGCAAACTAGAAAACTCATGCGCTTGTCAATTAATTCTTGGTGTAATACTCACTCGTAAATGATTGGTGTCAGAATTTGTCACTGATCAGTCTCATCCGTGTAAAAAATTGGAATTCCTCTTCCAACTCGTCCCAGAATGGGCGTTATGGCAAAGAACAAGAAGAAAACAAAAGGAGGAATTTGTCCAATAGTAACAAATGGTGCCTCCACAGGTTGACATCCGATCCAACCTAGTAGTAAGCGATCCGCCAAAAGCAACCAAAATATTCCTTGGTGAATAGGGCGAAAACTTGAACTACGCACATACATACTTTTAAAAAAAGGTAAAGCCAACAGACATATAAAAACTGGTGCTATTGCGGCTACACCTCCCGATTTGTCAGGTATACTACGAAGAATGGCATGGATCGGTAGGAAATACCATTCCGGCACAATATGAGGCGGGGTGGGCATCGGATTAGCAGGTATATAATTGTCGGGATGCCCCAAAACATTAGGAGCATAAAAAATCCAAATGGAAAAAAAGATAGCAAAAGCTACCCAACCCACTAGATCCTTTACATAAAAATAAGGGTAAAAAGCAATTTTATCCATCTCTGAATGTACACCCAATGGATTATTTGATCCATATTGATGCAATGCGGCCAGATGAAGAAGACTGGCGCCTACTAAAATAAAGGGGAGTAAATGATGAAGACTAAAAAAACGATTTAAGGTGGCATTGTCCACGGAGAAACCACCC